TGTATAAGTAAGAATTAATGTAAGATAGCTTATTGATGACTTTTTTCGTTGGGGACAGTATAGTGAAATGAAACAAAACCAAAAGGGACTTTAACTGGCAAATCTATGAGCAATTACGTCCACTTCTTATACAAGTTACCACTTACTAGGAGCTGGAGAATGCAACTTGATGACTTGTTATAGTGTTCCATCATCATCTCCTCAATAACTTCAGACACTTGAGGGACTATAAGCTGTGTTGGATCATTCTCTTCCATATAGATCTTCATCTCCTTCAAACATGGAAAATAGTCCAAGAAATGTTTTATCAGGAGGATCTCTTTGGTTGCTCCTTGAAACCCTTTAATCTCTAACACTTTTACGGGACAAGATGTGAGTGAACGACCCTTTTCCTCCCGAGAAACGCAGTCACAAGCATCCCCGCATTTATCTGTCACATAGTGCAAGAGACCCTGAAATCATAAAGAAAATAAATGATTATTCAAAGTATGACTCTATCTTTATATTTACATATGTTTGGCAAGTGATTTGTTTTATACCTCAAAGACTAGAGTTTCTAAATGCGGACATTTCCTTAGAAGAACCGGCATTGCTTGCCATCCTCGTTTATTGTCGCTTTTAATAGTTAACGAGTTGAGGTTTTTGAACATTGGTAATGATTCACAGCATACAGAAAGAACCTAATTATAACAAGAAAACTCACAATTAGAACAAACAGGACTACTACAAAGTATAAATATAAAAAAATATAGCAAAAGAAGAAGAGAACTGACCTCAAGAGTATTAGGAGACAGAACTAGACACCGAACATTTCGAATGCCATTCATAAGGTTCCCAACATTTGAAAACCGGTTGATAACATTCTCTTCATCATTCTCTAACCAAATACCGTGTGGAAATCTTGCTCGCTCGATCTCTTTGTCCCTTACCCAAAGGCTGATCTGAGCCTCAAACAAGTTATCCATATTAGCTACGGAATAATCTTCCGCGGCATAATCAGAGTAACCAAAGTAAACAAGACTAGGTGTATCAAATAAATAATTAATTATACTACTGTTGAACCCTATTGTTAGGACCTTGAGGCTTGCACTTGATACAGTCACGGTAACATCCCAATATTCTTTCCAGTCTAAATCATATAGGACTAATTCCTCAAGTGCAGGCAAAGCATGAAGAAGAATCTCAAACTTATCAGCAGATACATAAACTGATTTCAGAACAAGAGTTTTGAGCTTCGGTAAGAAAAGGCTCCCATCGATTAAACTAAGATCAAATCCAAATTCTAATTCCAACTTAACTAGTTTCTTGTTCTGGAAAACTTTCGGACACATATGGTTATTGTTATCTACTGATTCCCTATCATCAAAGATCGATAGATCAATCTTGGAAACACCACGCACCATCACATTCTGTATCCAACCATTCACCCGATCTAAATCAATACTGCCCATACCACTGAGGTAGAACTTCTTTAAGGGAGAACTACCCTGCAATGCCAATACTCTATCCACAAAATCCATGAAGCTCGGTCGAAAATCGCAGTTATCAATGTTAAGATTAGGGACAAACGCAATCAAATCGCGCCATCTCTTGGACAGAACAGATGTCAAAGCAGCCTCTTTGGTGGTAAGGAAGGATAGTATATGACAAAGAAGCTCTTCTGGTAGATTGCTTATGAGATCCATCTTCTTTCTCTGCATGTACGAAACAAATTGTGACTATGGTTAGAGAAGTCTTAAGGAACAAGAAGACTTGAGAGTTACTTTTCCTTTATTATGGTTTTTGGTATTTTTACTTTATTATGTTTTAGGTATTGTTTAAGGGTTTTCTATTTTACCTGAGGCCCAAGCAACTATTAGTGGTTTAAGGAACCGATTAAACCAGATAAAATTAAATGTAACCCGAATTAGAACCGAGTAATCGGAACGGTTTGGAAACTAATTGAATTGAAAAGTTGGATTAATCGTTAAAGATGAGAGAACCCTAGCCACCACCACCAACACCAACACCAAGGTCAGCTTTTTCAATTGAACATCTCTGAAATCAAATCGAAGGTTCTTAGAACCAATGATGGATGATTTCTGAAGCTTTCTAAAAGCCCTGTTCTTTTACGATGCTTGATCTGATACAAGAGGGGTTTTGTGTTTCTTGAGTAACAAGTTTCTCGAGGATAACGTTCTTGAACTGGTGTGTGTATCGTTAAGAACTGGTCAATGCCTTTGGGTTTATGTTTATGGAAGAACGAGTTTAGGCTAACCACTTGTGTCTATATATGTCATGTCTATTATTCTTGTAGCTATAAGGATGCTTTGTAATATAAATGGTTTTGGAACACGAGTTCATTATACATTGAGATATTGTACATAAGACATAAGTAAAAGTTAGTATAATATGGGAGATATTGTATGTTTAGAGTGTGTTTACAAATATAAAAATAAGTATTGCAAATGACTACCAATTAACATTATTACCATGTATCCAAGTATCGACTACAAATGGTAGTGTAAGAGAATAAAAAGATTACGTTTATAATAAGTAGAATGATTTTGTTGTTAGAGAATATAGGGTCCTAGGGATATGATATGTTAGAGACGTTGGTAACGTTCAACCACCAATCACTCTAGCATGGAACTTCAGTAGTCTATTAAAAGTGTGTGTGTCTAACAGTTGTGCAACAAAGGGTATTTGTTTCATAAATATTTTGGTAAGTTTCAGGTCGGGGGAAAGATAGACTGGTCAAATCCGCGAATACTATCAAATTTTAGTCAAATATACATATCTCATGTGCATACTGATAGAAAACATAATTAATTATAAATCATTAACGAACGCGCATAGATTGACACATTGTAGATTATTCGCAAGCGTCTGAACTTGTTCCCACAATGAGGTCTAACTAGCCTCCAAACTTGTTCACATAATTAGGACTACTAAACAGAAGCTAGCTAGTATGAAGCTTGGCTTTATAGTAAAGTCAAAGGAGGCAGAACTGCTCAAATGGTAAAAACTCTTAGGGAAACAAGCCTTGAGGTATTCGGTTCAAGTGACTTAATGGACAAAAAGAAAGGATCTTTGTCGGAAAATAATATACAATATCTTCTTTTGCAACTTAAATTTTCTTACAATACATTTCATAGCCATTGTTCTATACGTTTGTTACTCATAGGTCAAAACCTTACATTTCATACTACAAATACTTGAGTGTGGGATCCGACACTGTCACCCATAATAATTATTGATATTGTGGTGTTTGGAACCGCCGATCATTTTGGTGATGAAAAACAACAGCACAACTAATTGCTTAAGGGCACGTACATTGGCGTACATAGCAGAAGTTCTACATTTTTTTTTGTGAAAAAAAAGAAAAGAAAATTGAGGGACGTTAGCTAAAACGGGACGGTCATGCGCCTTTTTCCTTCACTAATCGCGGGCTCCACTGACACGTGACGGTCTGTGATTGGTTACCTTCTTTTTTATCTTTTATTTTAAAAAATCTAAAAATTAAAAAAAAAAATTGAAAACTTTTTCTGGGGGACGAAAACCGCTGCACATGGTCTAAGTGGTCTCCCTCTAGCCCAACTTGCTTTAAGCCCATCTATGGTTAAGCGACTCAACAAATTATCACTTTGGCCCAGGTCTGTTTTTCCTTTTATTTTGGCTATCCCACTTTATTTTTGTTTTATGTCATGATGGTTTTTCGATCTAAATGGAGTAAGTCTCCAAATTAGATACTTAGTTGATCCTTTGACATATATTCTTATATGTCTTTGATTTCTTTTCATAAATTCATCTCGAGTTAACTCCAAACAACATTTATTTTGTGAAGCCAATTTTTCTCGTGAATATGCTTCCTCCTTATGAGAATCAACTTTATTTATCCTGGTTTTTCTTGCTTGCAATGTGTATATCAGTTATCAGTATCATCATTTAATCTTATTAGTCAGATCAAGCCTTTTCTAACAACCATAAACCTAGTACTAGTTCTATCTAAATGAACTTTATAAACCATATAAAACTAAAAGTTTTTTTTTTAATTTAGAAAGAAATATTTTTGTAAATAGATAAATAAAATGAAAATGATATCGAAAAGAGTATTTCTAAAGATTTTACCATTTTTTTTGTTTTTATTGTTAAATGAGTTATGTCGAGTTAAAATAATTAATATTATTCAATATACTTAATATTATTTTGTAAACTATAATAATATTGTTAGTTTATTATTTTACATTGGTGTAAATACATAGGCACTTAAACATTAAAACATGAAATATTTTTAAGATCTATAGAGTTTTGCGAGTGTAGATGGCTTTCTTTGGTTTGCGAGTGTCCGCGTGTAAGAATTCTTGGGCTTCTTTGATATTTTCCCTGACGGAGGTCTCGATTTCTTTACCTTAAACCTAAATCTTCTCTTCTGCTTAGTTTTCTTGGTTAGATTGAGTTGTTGTAGTCTTTTTGCTCATGTCTGTTGTGGTTTTGTGGTTTTTTCTGCTGGTGTTGTGGTTGTGCTCGGGTCAGTCCTTTCTTCGGACTTCTTAATCTTTTGGAGGTGCTGTTGTTTACGGTTCTGCTCGGTGTTCATGGTTTTTGGCTCGACATTTGCATCTTTTGGTTCTTTGGGAAGGCCATGGGAGTACTTTGTTTTAGTGGCAAAGTTGTAGTGTTCAAAATTCCTTGGTTATCTTGCAAGTCTCTTTCTTGTCGGATAAGGACTATGTTTATCTGTTTTACCTTTCACTTGTGACTTTGATTCCCTCTTTTGGGCTTGTGACTACGGACTACGGTACTGTCTCGTATTTGTTAACGGGTTTAAATATTTGTTAGACTATTGTGAAAAAAAAAAATCTATAGTATTTTATTATTTGATTTAATCCATAAAGATCAAATTCCGGTTTACTCTAAAATCTAAATCAAAAACCGGAAATAATTACGTTCTTGCCCCCAAGTTTATATACCAAAATAGCTCAGCACTGTCTCATTCAATGGTGTTCCTAAAACCCTAGCCAAGCCAAAGAGATACCCTAAAATCACAATTTTCCGATTGATCTCTCTCTGTTTCTCGAGCCGAGCATGAGCGACGGTAACATGGACGTCGACGATTCACCGCTTTCTTGGAAGGTAAAATCCCTGGAAGCAATAGTCGATGGTCCTTTCTCGAAGACCCTCTCGAAACTCTCATCGTCTTCTCGTTTGATTCCGGCGAGTAGAGATTTCCATTTTTACTACAATTTCGATGAGTTCAAACGCCCAATCGACGAGATAGCTGGAACCTCGCAGTCGGCTCTTGAGACGATCGGTGATTCCGAGCAGGTTTGGGAGAAATCGATGAAGTTCCCTGGCGATGTTGATGAAGTTGATGCCGAGGATTGGCTTTGTAACGTGAATGATGAATTTATCGAGAGATTTGATGTTTCGGTTGATGAGTTTAAGAGGATTCGGAAGGAAGAAGAGGAAATTGGTCGGCCTTTGGCTTACGATGGGAATGATGATGGGTTTCAGATGGTTTATGGGAAGAAGAAAAAGCCTTTTGGTAATGTGATTACTGGCTCGGCGGCGGGTAAGAATACTTACGGTGGTTCTGTGATTGATGTTAAGTTGGCTGAGAGGGAGAGGAATTCATCTGGTAAGGCTAAAGTTCCTTTCCATGTACCAACCATAAAGAAGCCTCAAGAGGAGTATAATATATTGGTGAACAACGCGAATCAACCCTTTGAGCATGTTTGGTTGGAGAGGAGCGAGGACGATCAGCGAGTTATGCATCCACTGGTTAGTGTTTTGTGTTTTCAGAACCATCTGTTTAGGTGTTTTTTGGAAAATGGTTAGACTTTATATGATAATTGACTCAAACAACACCAATTAGGGAGGATGCTGCTATTATAATGTAGAATGAGAGGATTTGTAATTGATTAAAAAACCTGCCCTGTGCTGCCAAATGGTGTAGTATTTCGATTAGCATTATGTATGTTTTTAAGTTCTTCATTAAGACTCTAGACTTCTTAAGCTTACTGTATTGTATTGTGAAATTGTGGCTTGGGAACAGATATGCTCTTAAGGTTCTTTTAGTTTATTTTTGGATGTCGGCATTTGGCCTTTTCTTGGTAGTTGTCTTCTCTTTTTATATATGTTTATAATACTATGCAGGAGAAACTTTCAGTGGTTGACTTCGTTGACAAAGATGTAAACGAGATGGAACCTGTTAAGCCCCTTCCATTGGAAGAGACTCCGTTCAAGTTTATTCAAGAAGTGAAAGATCTGAAAGAATTAGTTGCCAAATTGCGTAGTGTTGAAGAGTTTGCGGTAATTTTCTGTTCTGATTGTCTTTAGTAGTCCTATATGCAATATATTTTTTGACCATAATGTCTTTTGGTGGAAGTAGGAAATAATTTCAGAATTCTATCATTATTATGTCATTGCATTACCTTAAATTTTATCCATCATTAGATAAGCCGATAAACAACTCAATTTGTGATTAACCAAGGCTGATGCCTCTCTCTTCTCTTATTATTGTTAATGTTTTCTGTTTTTCTTTGTTTAGGTTGATCTGGAGCATAATCAGTATCGATCTTTTCAAGGATTGACATGCTTGATGCAAATTTCCACCAGAACAGAGGATTATATAGTTGATACATTTAAGCTCCGTATTCATGTTGGTCCTTACCTAAGGGAGATATTCAAAGACCCTAAAAAGAAAAAGGTTTTTCCTGGATACATTAATTTCTTATATAAAAGACCTAAATATATGTTCTATACTCTGAAATCTGTTTATGTAAATAGGTAATGCATGGAGCAGATCGAGATATTATCTGGCTTCAACGGGATTTCGGCATATATGTCTGCAATCTCTTTGACACAGGACAGGTTTGATGTTCTTTCAGCTTTATTTTTTTGCGATATTTCGTATAAAACATAGTAGAATAGATCCATTTTCCATAACATACACCTTTTGCTACATGGGAGAAGAATGATGGCAACTTACTGGCACTTGAACTGGGTAGCCAGCTTTCTTCCTTTTTATCCTCTATGGTTTGGACATGGAAAACTATACTTTTCTTCCCTGTACTAAGCTATTTTGAGAATGGATTTAGTTAGCTATACCATCAAAAGAGATAACTGGCAACAATTACGCCATCGATGGTTTTACGGTCCTTTTAGTAGATACTTTCAGCACCCTCCTGACCTTAAGTAAATAGTAACTTCTAGTATGTGTTGACTGTTTTAACTTTTAAGAACCCAGTCAATATGTCAGTTAAAAAGCTTGGGATCTCATATTGTGGTGACTGAAGCACATACTGGAAATAAATTTTAGTTATTTAGCCTTTTTTTCCAAAGCAGAAACATTTTGATTTAGATTTTAATTCTTTCAGGCCTCAAGAGTGCTAAATTTGGAGAGAAATAGCCTGGAGTTTCTTTTGCAGCATTTTTGTGGAGTTACTGCAAACAAAGAGTGAGTATTACTCGGGTCCTATCTGGATTTTTTTGTTCACTTTCGTCTCGCACTTGTCATTCAACTTTTTGATTTATTTATTGCTGTAGATACCAAAATGCAGACTGGAGAATACGACCCCTTCCAGAGGAAATGACAAGGTCAATCTTCTCCGTCTTGTGTCTTACTGTTCTGTCATCATCAGTTGACTGGAGCTCACAATTTTGGATTTCACTGCAGATATGCAAGAGAAGATACCCACTACCTTTTGTACATATATGATGTAATCAGACTAGAACTGCAAAGAATGGCGAAGCTTGACGAGCATACTGACTCTCCTTTGCTTGAGGTAGTCATCATTAACTTATACTGAGAAGTATAATATTCTTCAGCATGATAGATGCATAATTTTTATTTATTGTGTCTGCTTCTTCTTACTATCCTTCTGTTAGTTTTGTGTGGCTTAGCATTTTTTGTGGAAAATGATGTGTGGTCAAGTGTGTCGGGTGTATTTTGGTGAGTTATACTGTCTTGTAGGATAGTTAGATTTTCAGTATTCTTATTATATTAGCTAGCTGCCTAACCTAGGTGACTCTTCACATTTGCAACATTTTATGTTTTCTTAGAGGGACTTTGGAAGGAACTGGTCAGTTCTAGATACTTGGTCCTTTTTGTTACACCATACAGTAATTGGAATTTCAGTGTTCCTATGGTATACTATGTGTCTATGTGCCTCATCTAGGTTACTTTCTTGTTTTGCAACATTCTTAAACTTTATAAGAGAACTTCAATGGCATCTGTCATACATAAAATAGTTCTCTGGCAAATGTTTTTTTTTTTTTTTTCTGTAAGCCAGTCAAAAAAACTCCCGACCACATATTATGGGAACTCAGTGTGGTATTAACATTTGTCTAGAATTGGTGATTCAGCTCCACTGACTCATTAACATCGTTGCTTTTCTAGATTTAGTTAAATCCAGTGGATGTATATAGCCCAGGAAGAAATAGCTCTTCTTCAATATTTTGACTTTTGTCTTACTATTTCTTACAGGTCTACAAGCGGAGTTATGATGTGTGCACACAACTATATGAGAAAGAGCTATTAACCGAGGATTCATATCTTCATGTCTATGGGTTTGTTACTTTTTCTTGAGAGAAATAACATACTTAAGTTTTGTTTTTTTTTTTCTTTCTTTTTGAGCAGACATCCTAAGCTAAGTTACCTAAACCAGTATTATATTTACCGTCCTGGCATTTTGTTAGGCTTCAAGCAGCGGGCTTCAATGCAGCTCAACTTGCCATTGTTGCGGTACGATGTTCTCATGTGATGTAATGAATGATGCATACAACCTCTGCTTTTTCTTATACTATATAAAGCTAACAGAAAATTTACTTTCTTTTAGGGGCTCTGTGAATGGAGAGATTTCATTGCACGTGCAGAGGATGAGAGTACTGGTTATGTGTTGCCAAACAAAGTTCTCCTTGATATAGGTAAATAGCCGAGAATTTAATTTCACCATCTGCCAGAGAGTGGATTTATTTTGGCAATGATTAACTTGGTCGAATGTTGCTATTCTAATAGCCAAGGAGATGCCTCTCAGTGTTAGCAAATTGCGTCGGATGTTGAAGTCAAAGCATCCTTATATCGAGCGGAATGTTGATTCGGTGGTCAGTGTCATCAGGCAGTCAGTGCAAAATTATGCAGGATTCGAGTCTGCTGCTCTGTCTTTAAAAGATGCGTCTTCTGGAACTGTAAGATATCTCTATTGATTTATTAGCCTTTTCTCTCTGATTTGCTATAACTGTTAGTGTATAAGCTTAAGCCGATTAGGGTCTTAAACTCCTTGTGCTGTTTTCCTGTATTCTTCTTGTCTGTTTAACAATGGCCTTCTTTGATTGTAGATAATGGATAAGAATATTGAACCTATTACTGAGAAGAAAGACGTTTACTCAGGAGATTTAGCTTCTCCAAGTTTGAAGGATAATTCTTTGCAAGTTGAGAGTACCAGGGGCCTCAATATGGTTGCAGCAAGTACTACTGAAGGGAGAGGTTTAGGCACCGGCTTGTTTGGTTCTGCTAAGGTGTCAACTAGTTATTTCTTTTGGTTTGTGCTTTTAATCATCCATGCCAGGCTTTCAAAGATATGTCTGTCATGTATTAGGTTTCTGCGGCAGTTCGGATATCTAAGAAACCAAGCAGTGGTTTAGGAGCATTGCTGGGAAGTGCAGCCTCGAAGAAGAAATTTCGAACTGATGAGAAGGTGAGTTTATTTATCTTGAAAACTCTATAGTTGGTTTTGGTGGCAGAATGATTGATAAAAATGTTTTCAGGTGAAGGAAGATGTGAAGCTTGAACAGATAAGATCATCTGTAAACCTGGCATTCCCTTCGTTTAAAGAAAAAGTCCCTGACTCAAACTCAGCTATGCCAGCCTCTGTTTCCAGGGAAGATGGTGTGACAGAGTTGAAAGATGATTCAGAAGAAGCCTTAGAAATTGTTGGTACTTCTGGTAGAGTTTCAGTGCCCGAGACTGGTGATATTATACTATTGGAAAATGGTGATGGTGATGGTGATGGTGATGCGAAAGAAGTTGAGGCTGAAGATGAACCAATGTCTCTCTCGGAGTTGTCCACAAACTTTCAGAAGTGCTTTAACTCGATGAAAAAGAGCAACAAGGCCCCAAAGCAGACTGAGTTTTTAAACATAGAGCCGTTTGATTATGAAGCAGCAAGGAAAGAGTTGAAATTTGGGGAAGGGCACAAGGGAAGACAAGCAAAGAAAGAAGCTGGAGCAGGTCAGAAGAAGAAGGGTTCTGGTCCGGAGCAGTCAGAGTTTGGTCAAGGAAAACGTCGTCAAGCCTTTCCGGCATCCGGGAACCGAAGTGCGACCTTTAAAAGTTAGGTTGAAAACATTCTTACCTGCTTTCCAACTGAAGTTCAAATTACAAACAGATCTTATGGTTAAGTTTAATCATTATTCATTTTGGTCTTGGCCAATGGTGATTTTTGTTTAATCGAATTTCAACTTATCTACTACATAACCTCCCACTTTGATGGGACTTAGGGATACAAACTTTTTGTTCGAAACATGAAATCTGATTAATAGTTTAAATTATGAATCTGTCACAAAAGCTTTTTTTTTTATGTCTCATTTGGTATTTGACTAGGAGTGGTATCACTTCTATATCTTGTAAGCAGAAAAACCCCGTAAACGGAGAGATCTAGAACAACAAATAAAACACAAGAGCACTAGTAACGTGCAAAAATAGCCGCAAATATTACTTTACATATTGATAATGATACTAAAGATATGAAAATGTATCAAGCTTTGATCTGAAACCTTGAACACTTGATGGATCCAATGGAAATGTCGATTTCGATCAGATTATCGTCTTCATACTCGGCTGATAGTTGGATAAGCTTGAAATCTTGAACGTCGTTGTACATGATCTTTTGATTTTCTTGTCCAATGATAGTACTGTAGTGGTGGCCAACGTAATGACCACTTGGTAAGGAGAGCTCTATGAGGCTCTCCTCATCAGGGATTGTCCCGTCGTCTTCGCCACTATCTTTGGCAATATGATCATGATCAGTGGTCGTAGTAGATACTTCACTCTCTTCTATAGAGTACTCTAGTTGAGTACTAAGATCTTGAACCTTGGAGTTTGGTGTTTGGATTGAGAGAGGGAAGAAGTAAGATGAGAAGACCAAAGCAGCAGCTGAGGTAAAAAGGATTTGCGAGAACCCAAGTCCTATGATGTGAAGAAGTGGTGGTGCAAGAAAAGACAACCATGAAACTGGTTTTTTAAAAAGCAATGAAACAAAACTCACAACGCCTTGTTTCATTTTAATGCTCTCAAGATAATTCATATGGAAGCAATTACTTTGTAGCTCCACCAAAAAAGATAGAAGAAACAAGAGTTCAACCATTTTATATATATCACTAAATTGAGAAAAAGATGATGCTTGATTAAAAGACTTTTCAAAATACAAAAACCCTAGAGTTGATGTAAAAATTTGGAAGAAAAAAAAAAAAAAAAAAACCAAAAGAGTTATATATAGCTTAAGATTTTTGGATAGCTTAAATGTTCATTTAGACTTAGACTCAACTCATGTATATATATTACTAGGAAGAAGAAAAAAACTATTCTATTCTATTAATCTTGTTTTCATCTGCATCGAGATTTGATCAGTAGCAACAGCTCGATCCTTAACTAGTCCTTCTCATTTTGGAATCCCGAGATAATTCACCCTACATTAAACTATATAATTTTGTATGAATATCTCAAACAATAGAAAATGTAATGGTAATAACTAGTGATTAAACTACCAAAATTGATTATGCAATGGTGATAATTGAAATGTAATGTTTTGCTAATCCACTATACTACACAAGATTTAAAATTTTACAATTTGATAATTGATTATGTGAATCAAAATACTTATCTATGTCATTATGTTTAAAATAATTTATTTGGCTATCTATGTCATCATAGTTTAATTCTCTTTTCGATCAACCATCCTGAAAATTTTTTACAGTTAAATGTGTTTATGATAGAATAGTGGTAGGATAGGTGATTTTCCGAGAAATAATTATCAAAACCGTGTAAATAAAAAAAAAGTATCGCATAGTGATATATAAGATTGGTAAATAGATTTTTAAAACCTCTCAAATATAACAAAACAGCTATCGGATAAAAATGAACTTACAAGCCGGAAAAGATGCAAAGTGTATTTAAAAAAATATTACGTATGTAATACGTTTTCTTAGCAAAATAATTATAATTATAAATTTTATTCGAGTTTATAGTGTTTATACAATTTACTATATGAAACAAATTTCATTTTATTTCTATAGTATTTAAAATTAAAATATAAATTTAAAACTTTTAATTCAGAATTGGGTATCATCAGATAGATCTACTAACGTTATAGTTTTCTGATTTAATCTACTAACTTTTATTTAATTATGCTATTATGAGTACTGATCAATCATAATATTAATTTTTTTAGTTTAAAATGAAACCGTCGGTTCTGTGTTTATATTTCTTACTAGAAGGACACAAAAAGATAGATAAAACAAAAGAAACAAAAAACGACAAAAATAACAAATAGAATAATTAAGTTAAACAATCGTCGTATAGTTTCTATGCTTTTAGGAGAAGCCAAAAGGGCAAGAAGACCATAAACAAAACCTTTCAACTGTACTTAGCTCTGATGCATTGTCCAAGGCTTTAAGAGTGTCGGTGATGCCATGTGCAACCTTCCCTGCTTACCATCTGTCGACACTTTATTTCCTTCCCATCTCTCCAAAACTTCACTACTTACAAACAATCCACAGATTACTTAAGTTGACTTGCTACATTACGACAAAGAAACAAAAAGAAAAGAGACTTGCTAGATCTTCGGTGGACTTGTTTGGTCACTCATGGGTGTGTTTCGTTTTTTTTTTTTTTATAAACCCTATCGGTTGATCCGGTCGGATTCGGTAGAAACACAGAAAAATATTTTAGAGTGGATTTTTCTCTGAAGGACCACCATGATTTTTATCCCGAGTTTGGAATGTTTTCCGATTAATGTCAGGGGATAGTAAGGAGTTAGATAAACCAACTGGGTCTTGGCCCTATTGACAGACTTACTACACTATCATGATTTTTGTTTCTATGGTGGGTCGAACCTGGGTTAGTTTCTTCCAACCTCCTGTGTTTCAGTTTTGATAATAAGCTCCTCACTTTTTTTCGTTTGACAACATCTTATGCATTTATTATATTATTGATGGGTTTTTAACAAATCTAAAAGCTAACAAATCTTATATAAGAACATTTTTTTTTAACAAAACTTAGCTCTAAGATTTTGTTAAAAACTATTAATGATGGTCTTACACCATTCAATCCGTTATAGAATTTTGGACTCTAATACGATAACCAATATAAAGATAAAGGAAAAAGAATGTTAAACTTGATGTTTGCAGGGCAGGCTCAAATAGGGTGGACAGAGGAGCCATATATAGTCTACGGGACCAAGTATTTTGTTTTTAAAATTACATAAGAAAAAGGTCAAAATGTTTTTAAAAATATGTAGATGGATTCAAAATTCTTAGTAGAAAAAGCCTAAAATTTTCTAAATGCTATTTATTTTTATTTTTAAAAAGTCCATATAATTTTACTAAAACCTAAAATTTAACATAATATTCAAAAAAATCTCAAAAACAAAATTTTTACTTAACAAATGTCCAAAAAACATTTCTTCCCCAAGGGACATGTATATAAGTTAATATCTGCAAATATGTTTCTATTCTTTTATGAAATTTTTAAAATTTTATACTTGTCGACATCATATCATCGATAGATTTAACATGTATCACATCTAAACAAAACTTCATCTAATAAAATATATATATGTAGAGTATTCTTCATTAATCAATAGTTATGTTGTATTCCTAGAGCATGTTTTGATGTCGATTAAGAAAGTTTGTATATATAGCTCTTGCAAACAACAAAAGATTGCATATTTTAATAGAAAGGCTAATTAAGAGGATGTGTCCCCTAAAACTGAGCATGCTTATTTTTGTACGATAAACAGTAAAATTGATAAATTTCACGCACCGGAAAGGAAAAATGCCAAAGACATTTGAGTGAAACTGAAACAAATAATTATATTCACACATCTCTCGATATATAATTATAATCTCTTTAAAGTTCCAATCCTATATATTTTAAGTTTATAATAAAATGAAATGGAACAACATACTCTATTTTCTGCATGTACACCTACGATTACGAGTTTATGACAGCAAAAAAGTAAACAAAATCCAAAAATCTTCAACCAGAAGTGGTGGGTTAGTGGTTTTAGTCTAGTGTAAGAGTCGCCCTGTTGGTTTAAATCAGTGATCGATTCACTCCATACGCAGAATTGCTAGATTTATCTCTTTGGCCACATAGGTATGGGTCTCTTAAAGTCATTTGAAAAACTGGGGGATCCTACCTTTGGAATACCTTCTTCCCATGAATTAGTTTCGGATCCTTTCATAGGTCTGGAGATTTACCCTGAGTTGAAAAACAAGGAATGTGCATGTTTGTAAAACTGAATTTATTATATGGATATTTGGTTTCCTTGCCAATAATAATATTATCAAGAACAGGTTATTATTGATGTATATATAATATTTTTCCCATGTTTAAAACTTTTCTAATTTACAGAAAAATCTGTAGATAATATTTAAAATGTTTATCAAAACATAGGTAAAATTTATCAAAAATAAAAAAATAAATTTTAGAAAGACTATGTGAGCTTGTTTGGTTATATTGATAAACTAAAATCTTAGATTTAAGTTTTGTTTCCATGTTTTAAATATATTTTTTTGTCATATGAACTAATTTTCTAGGAAGTGCATTCCTTATAAAAACTATTTTCTTTTTTCACTTTACATTCTTAACATTGAAAAAGTTATCACAAAAAATTAGAAGCTAAAGCATATATGTTAAAGGAAACAGAAATAGTTTTTTTTTTCTAAATAAATTATATCTAGCTAAATTCAGTTTGTAAGTTGTAACCATGCCACATGTCGAACAGTATAAAGTGTCATTGATCAAGCAAACATAAAAAGAATCAACAAAAATAAAAGGACTAAAAATTGCGTTCAACTAAAAATGGTCCAAATACAAAACTACAATTATAAATGACTTAAACAAGATTATAAAAATAACTTTGTAAGTGAAAGAAGAAGAAAAAACAAGAAATGTATAAAGATAATACAAAAACACTTGTCGGCCAGTTGCAAAGGTTAGTAGCTAAGCATACTCTTGTTTGAAGTTTTGGGTACAAAGCACCTTGAAACCATAAATTAATAGCTTTAATTAACAAACAAATCTCTTGATTAACAATTTTTTATTAAACTAAAGTTGTTGATGAGCTTAGCATAGGAAGTGACATTAACTCGATAGCTAGGAATGTCGTTTACTAGGAGAGATTGGGGACCAAAATCTTCTCAATTTGATGAGGGGACCTTGTACGTACGTGTGGACTATCTTCACAAGAAAATCACGTTTTGATAGAATATAATTAAAAATAAGATTATGTGTATTTTATATAAGTTTCTTGCTAATTAAACATATAGGTGTGGATGAATTTATTTCCCAAAAATTAGTTGAATTTTTTTAGAATAATTTTATTTTTGTTTATAGAAAGGATCAACTTATTATAACGAATTTACGGTAAAAATATTTATCGAAATGATCAAAATTATTATAACGAATTTATGATATATTGTGTTTGCAACATTTACTATTTGTCCACTAAACATTATATATAGTGCAAACTGCAAAGTAACATTCATTAATAACCAAATACAGTTTATCTATGTTTGTAAATGAAAATTTTCCTAGTGATTTTTCTCCTCTCAATCTTCAGTCCTCACATTCGAATTAGAATTAGAATAATGAATTTACGATAAAATTATTTTTCTCAATCTGAACTTAGAACATTGTTGTAACTCATGAAACTCGAATTTAAGAACAATTTTTTTTTTTAAATGAAAAATCCGGAGAAAATATCAACTTAATTTCTTTTATAAAGACTCTACTAATGATACTTCGAAAAAAATAATATATAATATAAATAAATAAATATATACATATATATATATATGTATAAGATTTTCAGCTCTCCATTCGAATGTAAGAATGAGAGGAGAAAAATCACTAGGACAAATTTAATTTACAAACATCTACTATTTTGAAAAGAAGAGGTAGAAGTGAAGAACCAAGTAATACAAAGGGATTAGTAGTATTGTGAAATTAAGAAATATGACCAAACTAATCAATAAATAAAATAGGATCATAAGTTTAATTGTATTTGGTTATTTTATGAATGTTATTTTGCAGTATAATGTTAGTGGACAATAGTAAATGTTGCAAACATGCATAACATTAAACTAATCAACCTCTGCTTTGATCTCTCCTTCGAGTTCATTTTTGTACTCTTCGAACTTGCCTTAGAGTAAAGTCACTGTTCCGTCATTTACATGCCAAAGTTCACTCTTCTCCTAGTCCTAGCTCGTCCTTACACACGCGAGATATGAGACTCGAGTCGTGAGTCGTGACTCACCAACACAACTCCTCCTTTGAACCCAACTAGTGTATCTACCAAACACATCTATTGTCTGCATCCATGTCCAGATGATATGGAGGCTAACACAACCATAGGCTTCAATCATCACTATGAAGTTAACAGTTTGAGTTATTCTCAATCTTTGTAAGTTACTTTTGAGATTCAAGACAACAACATATGATTATTGGTAGAGTACAGAACCATTCTATTCCTAAACATATGGTTATGTTACACAGTTACAGTGACTAGAACATATATGCTGGCACCAGTTTTATTCGACAATAGAACTATATATTGAAGATAGGTCTTCTGTTTTCAAATCAGGGGAAATTGTGTGAGGATCACAAAGGCTGACATTTCAGACTCTCTCAAGTACCTCAACGTTCCTCTTTCCATGAGTTTCACAAGCTTCTGGGTCATGTGTAGTCCTAAACCTTCCCTTGATGTTCCTTTCCTCAACGGCTGAAACATCTCTCTTACCAGATCCTCAGGCAGTCCTGGTGCCGGGTGTATTATCCTGAACTCTAGCTCGACTCTTTTCATTCTTTTCCCTATAACTTCTATCCGTGCCATTACCTTGAATGAGACGCATAATCCTTTCAGTGCAGGCGTGAAGCGTATGCTGCTTAAGAGTGTCTCTGAGAGGATTTGCTGTAGCCTTAGGTTGTCTCCATACAGTTTCATTGATGAAACTTCTTCAGGATAATCGCAGATGATCTGCACTTTACGTTCAATGCTGAGCTCCGTCACTTGACTTACAACTGCTTCTAAGGATTCTTGCAGGCTGAATTCGCTACAATCCAGTTCCACATAGCTGATTTAAGGAATAAATAAAAAGAACAGTATTAGAACAGAAGATTTTAGAGTTAGCAACTAAGATGATGAGAGCTATAGAAGAATCAGGTTTTTGGTACCCTTCTTCGATCCCTTCTATGTCTGAGTCGCTTATGGCTTTGGCTAACTGCTCCCTGCATAAAACACTTGTCCTCAAGAGTTGCTTTTGCTCTTCACTTAATCCAGATGAATGTAGCAAATCTTGAAGGAAGGATATTGCCTTTTCGGGGTCCTTCACTTCATGGCGGAGATATGCCAATTTATTGAGGGTGCAGGCAGTCACCTGCTCTGATATTTGTTGAACCTGTAGAGCATATTGGAGTTCTGGACTAGGTACTTGCAAAAAACACAAAATCCCAGTAACGTTGCCTTCAATATCAGTCCTTTTGTTTGCTGAAAGCAATGCCTCTATGAAATAACCATCACGATGGTAGAAACCAAAGAAAAGCTTCTCTATGTTTTCTTGGCCAGAACCCACAGCATTCAACGCTATGCTCAGTTTAGTTAATGTGTCATGGTCTTTAAGGCGGCAACCATAATCATTTGAGGTAAAAACCTCCCCGAGAAGCATTTTGTTGACAGCTTCTTCTCTCTTTATCCCAGAAAGCTTCTGCATTGCATCGTTCCACTCTGAGCATAATCCGTTCTCGTTGATCATAAAAATTGGCGGAATGAGTGTTGAGGGGCTCCACATGATTCTGGCGTAATCTCCTTGCACACGGCTATAGTTTTCAATCAGTGTTTTCTGGCCTGTTACATCTTGTCCAATGAAGCATACACCAAGAACGTTATTTGCGGTATCTCTGCTACAGCAAGTGTTGACAACTAAATCAATTGGACTGCTTTTCCTTTTACGACCAAATGCTCTGATCCTGATCTCAGCACCACGTTCTTCACTACCTATTATGTATTATGAACACAGATGAAAATCTGCGAAAACAGTCAAAAAAGATGAAAACAAAGTATAAAAGGAAGCCAGAAACCAGATAAAGGAAATTTTCTTCCATACTGGAGAGGAACATGTTAGCATTACCTTCAAGAGCCAATGCTAACATGTTCTTAACGGTTTCTGCAGTATCTTCCTCAACAATTTCTGATACAGGTGTGCCTATTGCTTGTTCAACTGCCAGTCCAGTTACCTCCGCCGCTTTTGAATTCCAACCATTTATAACACCAGAGGAATCAACCGCAAATATAGGAACAGCCGCTGTATCAATCAAACGCACCATTTCATTCACGATAACACACAATTCATCTACCTTCTGTACCCTTTTATCCACAGGTGGGACATCCACATCAGTCTTTGAATGCTCCTCTTGCAACGAGCCTTTTATTATTAGCTGCAGAGAGTTAATTGCATCCAATTCCATATCATCCCATGGCATACTTTTCCACCTAACTATTTCCATAAAAGCCTTGAATGAGGATCTAGGATGCATCCTCTTACCATCTCTGTCATTGGGATCATGTCTAGCACCACCCCACTTGATCTGTTTTGCAGTGCTAGACCGGAACCAGAAAAGGAAATCTTTTTCGGTAATACATAAGGCAGCCATTCCACAGATAGACTCCCCAAGAACAGAAGCATCCGGATAGCCAGACTCCATTAGACTTTCAGTGGTAAAGCCAGTGTTTCCTCCATGACATTTGAGAACCCAATCGATAAGATCTTTAATTTGTGTCTCTGTCGGAGTAACCCCTAGAGACCAGAGTTTATCTCTGTAATAAAGGGCTGCTCCATCACATTTAACAAGATCCATTATATTTGGTGATTGAGTGACTATACCTATCGGTGAGTTACGAAAAAGCATGTCACATAGCATACTCTGAGTTTTCAAAATACTCTTCTCTTTCAACAGAAGAGCTGATTCCGCTTCTTTGTTGATCTGCACGCCAAATACTTGAGTCAAGAATTCACAAGCATACCTCAACGGAAAAGGCACGAATCTAGGACTTGCGTGATGACAAACCACCAAGCCCCATAAATGTCTGCCAGTCTGAAGATCTATGTTCATCTCATCACTATCGCTACCGTTGATCGTTACAGACATGGCAAGAGATGCCACTGAGCCCATATTACTCATATATTGTGCGTGACAGCCATGAGGAGCTCTCAAAGTAGATCCAGACAGACTTATTGGCTGTGAGAGATTCTTGTCCTGAACCACTTTAACAGGAACAGCAGAGCAATCACAAATCATCCTAACCTTGTTTCTCATAAAGAGAAATCTCGAAGCTTGAGGTATATCAGTAGCAGAGTAATGCAACCCAAGATAAGGTTCCATGTCTTCCCTGCAACATTCAGCAACCACTTCTCCATGCCCATCTTCATGAAACTTATACACCATTACCCTATCATAACCTGTTAACTCACTAACTTCCTTAACAAGAGCATCACACAATACCAACATATTCCCACTAGGCAATGCCTGCAATCTCGAAATCGATTTAGCCGCAACCTTATACGATCTCAAAGCCCCAGCAGTAGTAACAGGCACCTCATCAGGACTCACAGGCTCCAAATCCATAACAAGACCCTCTTCAATCCGATGCAAAATCGCATAAAAAGGCTTACTTGAAGACACACAATGAAGCGTGATGGGATTCAGAATACTAATCTCACCAAAGTCAACAGCTTTCTGCAGAGCAGAACAACCTGAAGACTGAAACAACGATCTCACATCAGTTCCTATACTCAAAGCTTCACACTGCTCCATACTTGGCACTGTATGTGGAGTCAAACCCAACATCTCTTGAGTGTTTTCACTAAAGGCTAAAACTTTAAGGCTTTTCTCATCAACAACGATTAAACAACCAAAGGGCTGAATCAACATCCCTCTCTGAATCTTCTGTAAGTAAGTTGAGACATCTGAAGAAGGTATCTCACACGATGAACTCGGCAGGTTCAAGTTAACTGAAGCAGAGTAATCAAACGAACGCTCAGATTCTTCGTAATTCCTGTGTAGCTTCGCATCAACAAGTACCTGTGAAGAAACTCGCGAGTTTGGTCTAGATCGAGTTGAACAGCTCCGTGAAGTGTTCGATGACATCTCTAAAAATCTTTACTTTCTTCTCTTCAAAACGAATCTGCAGAAGAATTCACAAAGCTTTTCTTCTGATCAAATGAAATTTCAGAGTTTCAGAAGTAGAACCTTCATTAGTGTTTTGTCTTCTTGGAGATTTTGCAGCGAATTCTCTGAGAGAGGATCTTTGGAATGTTCGTAAGTGGTTGAGAAGCTGAGAGAGAGGAATGGGGAAGAAGATAGATGCATTGAAACGTCGTGTTGTTTTAATGAATAAAGTAAACTGCGTGGCGGGTTGAAATAAGAATTGTTGTTTCAAGTTTTAAGAACTGCGTGCAGTTTCGTTCTTTTTTCTAAGTAAATAAATTAAAAAAATTCTTTATTATTCATAGCATAACATAAGTCATAAAACACTACCTATATACAATTTAATCACAAGATATAAATAAATAAGTAAATTCTTAAAATTAAAATTTTTGGTAGAAAATATCAGTCAACGAAAATCTTGTGAACATAAAATATATATGTTTTTACAAAACAAATAAAGCTTAACTTTCCAACAATCCATGATTAGAATTTCCCCAAAAACATTCAAAGTCTTACTGTGGTCAAAATAATAAAATAAAATAGCCACAAATATCCAAATTATGTCGACATGGACTAAATTTTTGTTGGCTTTCTTCATTCACCAATTTCATATTTTTGTCTTTTTGGAGGGTTGTCCATGCTGTGAAGCTCTATATCCAACTTCACCTAGATATACAACTGTCACTGAATTAGCTGGAAACAACTCCGGATAATAGGGAAAATAATCAAATGTGACATTGTTGACTAAGTGAGAAAAAAAAATACAACAACTTACATTCAGTAGTTGCATTAGGTTCTTGACGATTACGCTTCTTCATATAGTCTTCAAGGCGTTTTGGCGATTTGAATGAGAATTGAGACATATTCACCCCTTCTCTTGTGTACTCAGGGTGGCTTTCCAAGAACCTGTCAAGTAACCAACGTACAATGAGACTTATAAGAGTGTAAGGAATTAAGCTGTCTATATGATAATTGATAAGTCATCACTAAGCTTTTCGTCTAACCAATTCTTGGCATTAGACATTGTCGTTAGTAGCAAAACATGAGCAATGGTTTATGTAATTTGCATCAATAATGCCTAGCTTTATATAAATATCACCACAAACGTCATATGAGAGGTTCCAACTACTTGTTCCTACACAATCCTACTAATTGCTTTATATATAAGTTGGAAAAATTGGTAAGAATGAATACCCTGACTCCCTGAGACCTAATACTCAAATAAAGAGATAGAAAATATGCAAATAACTCAATCAACATATCAATTTCTTATAAATTACATGACGGTTTTGAAACAGGAAGATGTTATGTAACTTATAAGAATTTGAAGTGCTAAAAACGAGTGAAATGAATACTAAAAACTTACTTTTTGACCTCGGATTGTGATCGAAGCCTTATGTTTGATAATGGAGCAGGAGGATAATAATAACTGATCAAATATAACAAAAAAAAATATTAAGGAAAACTTGGTACTATATAGACAATGAGAATCGAAACAAGAGGCCTGTAGAATTACTTACACATCGGCGAATGTTTTTTCGTACTCACGTCGAACCTGCACAAGACGTCTCCATCCGCTTGGTGGGGAAGGGATGCTAGGTGCATCAATAGCCCAGATATCGCATGATGTTTCATATCCCGGGACTTCACAAGACATATTTGGCTCCCACTCGGAAGCTGCCTCGCAAAAAAGGGGGCTTTCAACATGTTTTTCCCTTAAGATTTCATACTTCTGCATAGAGGGTATGAGTCTCCATTTCAAACAACGCCCACACTGAACCATTAATTCCTTAATGAAGGGCATTTTTGGAGTGTTGTTGGATTCGTTGGCATTGCCGGATGAAGACATTACTCGATAGGAACTACACATAATAAATGATATTGTCAAGTAAAATAAACAATAGAAATGAAAAATGCATAATCAAGTTTGTTCATTAAAACAAAAATGAGAAATACGTATCCACATCATAGGGGAACCAACAATGAATTATAAATATTCTGGGATAGTTAAAAATCATATAACAAAATCTAAGTAAACACATATAAGCATGTGATGGTGGAGACTGGAGACATACAAGATCTAATTTTCATTTTTTGGACAAAATTTTGAATAATATTAAACCTCAGACAGATTTTACACTCCTTAAAAAGAGGAGTTTGAAAGAGACATAACCGCTTCCTTAGCCAAGGTGTCAGCTAGTGCATTTTCCAAGCGGGGAATAAAATGAAATGAAACAGAGATGAAACTAGAACAAAGCATCACAATGTCGGCCAAAAAACCGGCGAGCTCATTAACATAGCCTCTCGACTGAAGGAGCAGAACATATTCGTTGCAGTCGGAGTAACATGTTACTCTTGACACACCCATAGCTAAAACTGACTTGATAGCAGCTTCCATAGCCAGTGCTTCCGCCAAAAGGGCTGAAGTAACAAAGGGTCTTGATGACGAACCTTGGAGGACAATGTGTTTCTGTGGGTCCTTTAGCCAAGGCCTCCCACACTTGTGGAATCCTTCCATGCTGCATCCGAGCAGCAAATATACGCCTCCGCTTTGATCGCTGGAGTTGTTCCCTTCCGCAGTCCAATATTCTTAGGGGATTCTAGGAGTTTCGCTGATTCCCAGCTTTAGCCTCCTTAATTGCTTTCAGCACCGTATCTTCCTCACAACCACCTTTATCTTCAAACACCAAGAGAATACGAGCTTTCCACAAGTACCAGAGAATCCACGGGTACAATGGCACTGATCCTAGACCCATTGGGGGTAAAATGAGCAATTTTAACTACTCTTAAGAGATCCATGAATGAGACGACACTGGCCTGGGGTTTAAATATGGTCGGGACAAGCTCCCACACCTTCACTTCAAACGGGCACTTAAGAAGCAAATGAAGAATGTCCTCTCTTTCTCCACATCTTTTTAGGCTGTATCAGCCGTTATACCTCTTCCTACAAGTACATCCCCTACTGGTAGAGCGTTGCGAACGACTTTGCATAAGAACATCCTCAACTTAGCTGAAGTATTAACATTCCAAATACACGAATTCCAACTAAAAGTGACCTCCTAGGCCGTATCAGCTGCAGTTCTACCAATTGCATATCCGGATTTAGTAGAGTAGATACCTTGTTTCCGATGTAACCAACGTTGCTTAGCCGATCTTCTTGAAGAACTCAGTACAATGCTGAGAATGTATTCCTCAGGATGAGGTAGGTAAAGTCTGATTGCTTCTACTCCAAATGTTTGTGTTGGGCACTAGAAGATCCTTAACCGAGAAATCTAGACTATACAAAGGATGTGGTCTTATTGGTCGTCTCGGAGTGACTGAGGATAACCAAGGAGAGTTTTACATGCTAACCTCCTCCCCATTACCAATAATCCATCCCAACCCTTTAGCAAGTGTCTCTCTACCCGCCAGTACGCCTCTCCAACTGTGTGAAGCGATTGTCGGACATTTTGACTGCATAAAGGAGGACAAGTGGCAATATTTGCCCAACAAAAATCTAGCCAAAAGAGAATATGGTTTTTGAATCAATTTCCAACCATTTTTTGCAACAATTTAAATGCGAGTATCTCTTGAAATCCCAAACAACCATTTTCTTTATGCTGAGTAAGCTTCTCCCACGATATTCAGCTCATTTTCCTTTCATCTGGTTTTGAGTCGCACCAAAAGTGTGTTAAAGCGGATTGGATTCTTTTGCATATGGAGGAAGGGAGTTTAAAACATGACATCGCAGCGAAAACCACTTTTTAAAGAACTTCCTTCCCAGCTGCCGAGTGAAAGCGTGTTATCCACGTTACGATCCTTGAGAAACAATACATTCGGGGAGAAGTCATTTCGAATTTCCCACAATCTTGGAATTGTAAGAGTGCTTCCCAAACCTTGACAATTCCAACTCACAACCACTAAGGAAGAGAATTTGGTGGATGTAGAAAATCCATCTTAGATTTTGTATTTTTGGCTGCTGGTATCAAAGCTAAAGTCGGTACACTACACTGAGTTACAGTAACTTGATTGCAGAGTCTTTTCCTCGCAGCTAAGGTCGCCTTAGGCCTTGTAGCATTTCGTTTTTTTGAACTAGCGCCCTGAGGTGGACTCCTAGTGCCTCTTGGTTTTGCCGAGGTAGGAAGCTTTCTTTTATTTGTGGTTTTAGTTCTAGGGAGGTGCGCCGGGATGGTGACCGTGACTAGTTGACATTCATGGTTTAGATTCTCCTTCCTCAGCTGGTCTTGATTGAAAATCAGACGATGACTAAAAGTGGGGTGGATAGGAGACGAGTTTGAGCCAAAGATACTGGCATTGTTAATCTCTGTGAGGCCAAATCCCTCCCCTCCCTCGTAGTGTATATCCACATCTTGTAACATGTCAAGCATAGAGGTTGAAACCCCTGCAGCTCGTGATTGGGTTCCTGAAGACTCTCCAGTAGTTAACCGTTCGAGGGCTGGTATTCTAGGCCTTGGATAGGGGGAGCAAACCCTGTTTTTAACCAAAGAAGGTAGGGGAGGAGGAGGTTGAAATTCCAGAGGCTGCGATGGAGGTGTTACCGGTGTTACCTCTCTCATAGAAATAGAGGGACGCTGTTCACTTGGCCTTTAGGCTTTTGAGCTGTCATTAGTTGTGTGGTGACTGTTTGGTCTGCTTGGAGGCGTCCTCTCTCTCCAGAGCCTCGAGGTGCCGACTTTTGATAGCCTTTGTGGTCGCTCTTCACACCTCTGATGTCGAGTGTGAAAAGAGGATGAGCTACGAAGGCCAAGGTCCTGAGCTCTGTTACCCGATCTATAGTGACTAACCTAGGTTGAGGCTCTGAAGCTAGGCCTATCACTTCAAAATTCTTGCCTATAATGGAGGCGGCTTGGTGGCCTGAGTTGGGCATATAGCGATTGGTGATGGTGAGGAGACTCCCTCCTCACGTCCCTCGTGGCTGGTTCAGTAGGGTGAGAAGAACTCCTACAAACATCCATTATTTGAAGTGGAAAGAGGACCAACTAAGAACAAGTTGAAGGTCCTCCTCAGTTTTAAAAGTAAACTGGAATTTGCCTTGGCCCAAGTCTCTGCCTAACACTCTGCTACCCAAATTCCATAATTGAAGCATGTAGTGCACAAGAGTTTTTGGGTTTTGAATCCTTGGATTAGTGACTCGTCCTACCAGAGTGAGTATATTCTTCATGATAAGGTCTTCATTATCACATTCAGGTATGCAAACAGGGGAGCGAGCATAGGGCCTTTTTCAAATCGTGAGTACCAAGATGTCATTTGTTACTCGAGAGCAGCTACCTCACCGTGTGCTAAGACAAAACGGAGAAGAGACCTGAAGAAACAGCAGTAAATGCAGAAGCCTTCAAAAAGCTAGAGGATTTGTTGAAGAAGTAGTTGAGAGAGCAGTTAATGAACCCGTAGTAAATGAAAAATCCAGTAGCGAGAGTACTAGAATCCCAACAAGAAGAGGTGGGATAGACAAACAGCTGCACTAAGCAGTAAATTCTTCAAGAACAGAGCAAAGTATCACAATAACACAAACCCAACACGAGGGTACTTCTCCCCCAAAACAGACATGAACCACCGTTGTTGTTCAAAGGAGGCGACTGAGTGCTTATCAGACCGGCAGAGGGATGCCGGTTGCATTCCAAAAGAGACATCGGCCGGCCATTAAGTGAGGAAAGGAAAGAAAATTGCCGTTAATGGCAAAAATCAGTAGGTAAGATCTACTTTTTCAAGTTAAGTTAGCTTCTTTTAGATGCATTGGGACTCACGCCGGAGAGAAAAACTATTGCTCTCTTTTACAAGATCTAATTAAATCCATAAAACTAAAATTAAAAATAAAAAGATCAATCAACATATACACGGAGAAGATCTTTTAGAGAACGAAGATGATTCTCGTACCTGAACGTTGCAAAACAGAGATTTGTTGGTCGAAGAGAGATTTGTTGGTGTCCAAGAGAGAGATGATCATAAACTTTATTTAGTGGACATAGAAAGGAAACATATATAGGAGGATAAATCCTAATTCATTTTTCCATAATATTGTGTTGACTAACATTAAATCAAACAATGTGAAATCAAATTAGGAGATTACCCGTGAACCGGTCCAGCCCATTTTCTCATATTAATTCATCAATATTAACTTTATAATTAATATTCAACCAACAGATTAAACCAACAGGCAAACCACATCGGAAACCAAGATAAACCAAACCAATAATAAACCAATAAACAATAATCATTATGAACAATAACCAGCATTGATTTCATAATAACCAAGATAAACTAAACCAATAAATAAATCAATAAACAATAATCATCCTAAAAAAACCAATAAAAAATAATTATCCAGAAAACAGATAAGTAAAACAATAACAATAAAACCCAAACATATGCCTCTAGATCATCGCCCTCATCCTCGCATTGATTTCACGATCACATTTTATCTTTACCTGCACCACAACCACAATGAGATGCGTGAGTATTATCACAACCAAAAGCCTATATGATAAGGCGTCACTAAGCTTTCCTTCTAACCATTTTTTGGCATTACACATTGTCGTTAGTAGAAAAACATAGGCAGTATGGTTTATGTAATTATTTGCATCATTATGCCTAGCTTTAAATAAATATCACCACTAAGGTAGCGTACATGACGTTCCAACTACATTTTCCAACACAATCCTACTAATTCCTAATTATATAAGTTGGAAAAATGGTAAGACATGGATACCCCGAGACCTAATACTTATATACACACAAATAAATAGATAAGAAATTGTGCAAATCAATCAATCAACATATCAGTTTCTTATAAATTACATGAAACTTTTTAAAAAGGAAGATGTTGTGTAGCTTAAGAGAAGTTGGAATGCTAAAAAAAAGTGAAATGAGTACTTAAAACTTACTTTTCGACCTTGGCTGGTGATCAAAGCCTATTTTTCGATAACGAATGAGGAGGATAATAATAACTGATAAAAGACAACAATAACAACAAAAAAAAAAACACTAAGGAAAGCTTGGTACTATATATACAATGATCCTAGAAGTGCATTACATTTCGATTGGATACGTTCCGCTACTTTTAATCCTAGAAGCGCATCCCATGAAAAGGTGTTGAGCTCATGAAGTAGTATAGTTTCATAACTTTGATTAACCGGACTGTTGTTGGATTCATTTGCATTGCCATATGAAGACATAATTAACATGATAGGAACTGCGTGGCGGTAGTATTTTCTCTCTAATGTTCACACATCAGATAAAACTTGTAACCAATTAAATTATAACAATTATTATAGCTAAGCTCCAAAATTGCCAATGTGTAAAACATTTCAATTATAAAATTGGGAAAATGTCAATCAAACCCTGAACTTGTTGGTCAACGCCATTTCAACCATGAACTTTGCTTACGACCATATAAATCGTGTATCTTCTCCTTCTCTTCCCCATCTGTTATAAACGAAGTAGATGGATTTTACTTTTCGGGCTTTCTTTATCTTTTATAATGGTTTTTAAATTTATGAACATATCTTCTAGTTCGTCTCTCAAAATCTAGAATCAGATATTTGATTCAAAAACTGTCTTCTCTGCTACATCGTTTGATGTATTGATGTGTGTGATACTCTGTCATTCGAATCATGGATTTTATATTGGTCAATGATTGTATTCATAAAGTTGTTCATAAAGATCGATTGTGTGATAAGCTTAGGTATAGGTCTTCTAAAGCCTCTCTGGTGTGATGAATCAGAACAATGAAAGGCCGTTTTAGAGCTTATGTTCTTTCATTGGTATGGTTATGCTCGGTTGCTTGATGTTCAATACTTGGAATTGGTTTTAAGGGAATGGTTTCGTTGACACTATCAACTTCACTTTGGTCTTAAGCCAGCAGAATGTATTGGCTCTCTTGCGCACCATTTAGTCTAAGGTTTTATTTTTATGGATTTGTTGTGTACAAAGATGAGAATTCTTTAAAAGATTCTGAATCCTATAGGCTTGTTCTTTGCGGTTGTGATATTAACCTTATAGTTGTTTAATCAATTATTTTCTTAAAGGGTATATTTTCTTATGAGGCTTTGCCATGGGAGGTTGTTAACAATGGCGTAATCTTTTCATGAATTGTAGTATTAAATTAGTAGCATGCTTAGCAGTTAGGAGTATAATTTGGGTATAATAACTGAAAGCATAACCATATATTATGAGTTTGTTGTAACGCCCGTGACCAGTTCGGTCTAGGAGTCGATCAACACCAATAATTTTTGGTTCATTGCATTGGTTTAGGTAAACCCTAGGGCTTGTATTTTAAAGGCAACAGTCAACTTTTGAGTCTCATGAACCGCTTTCGTTGATTTCCAGAAATGTGAAAGTTTCTAAAATTTCTTAGGGTTTCTGTAAGGTTTTTCTGGAGAGTTTTGGGTGTTTTTCTTGGTGATTCTAGCCTAAAGGAAGAGATATCCATGGTTGTTAGTGTTTGAAAAGGCTTGTGCTTCCTCTTTGATGTTGTTTTCGTCGTTGTTCTTTCTGATTTAAAAGCCAGTGCATGACCAAGGCTTATCTAAGCGGTTTGATCATTGTTTTGGGTGATTTCATGATTTTTTGGTTGATTCCTTTGCTTTTTTGGTTGTTTCTTTGTCTTGGAGTCTCTATGCAATTCCTTGGAGAGTCTTCATCATCCCTGAAGGTGCTTAGGAGTGGAGATCCAACAAGGAAAAGTGACTGGAGTGACCTATGAGCATCAGTGTCGATCGGCATAAGTGGTGTGTGTCGATCGACACCAATGATATGTTTCACATGGATGGTCGTGAGTGACGATCGACACTACTCGTGTTTGCCGATTGTCGAGTGCCAGTGTCTACTAACACCAGGAGGGTATCGATCGACACCAGTCTTTAGCAGTGGTTGAGTTTGTTACTTGTTTGATATTTGTGTGTGTTATTATCTGAAATGTGATTGATGATGCTTGTGTGTATAGCCCAGTACCTAGGATGAGTGCCTCACTAAGTATTTCTGGAAATACTTATGCATCTGTTTTTGGTAATGTTGGTAAAAGCACTGTGTGACAGTGGAATAAAGGCGAGGAGAAAAGAATGCTCTAAGGGCTCGGTGGTTGTTTTATATTTTGTTATGACATTTCTTTAGGAGGCTAGTTCCGAAATTTAGTACCATGTTAGAATGTTAATGTTATTGCTGAATTGGTTTTTCACATTATTTTAAAGCCAATGCTACTAACATTTATTGTTTTTAATCAAATTAGTAAAAATAATATTGATTATGTCCCAAATGGTTTCTTAAAATTGCTGTTAAAACTTGAAAATTTTTTTGGTGATTTATTGGATTATTTAATTTATGAGTATATCATTCAAAGCGAGAATGTTAGATAGGTGTCGCACAGTCAAGCTTAGCGAACTGGGCCGTAACATTTTTCTCTTTTTCTTGTTTGTGAGGGCAGGGCTTCGTATAGTCGTTGGTTTTAAAAAAAATAGAACAATTAATGGCGTAAGAATGT